GTACTTCAGACTGTATCCTTGTAACAACTGTTATAAGAGGAAAATTCCAGAAAAAATCATTGCAAAACCAGAGATTTAGCCATTTACAAGAAGCGGTGCATAGTTCGATAGGTGGAAAGGTAACAATTCAGATATGAAGGGTAAGTTCGAGATTTTGTGCGAATATTGTTGCCCTGACAAATGGATGTCTGACATGAAATAAGTATAAAACTGAAAATCTCTACAAATGACGCGCCATCCCCAAAATGTGATTTATTCCGACAAGATAAGATGATCAAGACAACTACTATTGAAACAAGTCTGACTAAATAATATATATTAGTGCCGCTAATCATTTAAGGAGCCTATATGCAACCAAAAGTTCCTCAAGCTTATCTTCTCGCTAGCTACACTCAAAATCAAGGCTCTACTCTTCAGTTGGATTCCCAAAAGATTCCAAAACGCGTTCTAACTCCTTCATGTGATAGTCATTATCCCCTTTGCGCAGGTGTGCACAATCTATTTCTCAAAGTAGAAGGTATGAGGATTCCAACCATGTCCCTATTGTTGCAACGTTCTTAAAAGAAATGTTAGCACTTTCGTCCAAGATGTGCTCCCTTGGAGGCGCCTGGACCTCTCTAAAAAGAGTTAACAACCAAAGTAATTATTATTACAATATTATTGACAGAACGCGCCTTATTCTTAATAATATTCTCACACATCGATTCAAATTAGTAACTCTTGAGGGGTTTTCTGAAGGTTGTGCAGCTCGGTGACAATAAGTAAATTGAGGATTTCCTGTCACTGAAAGAACTACAATGAAATGAAGGGGTCTGCATAGCAAAGGACTTATGCAGTCTTAACATTTTTTCTCCTTTTCTCTCTCGGTAGCAGATCTTCGGAAGGCAGGTTGGAATTCGTCTTCGCGGAGAAGAGCACAGGGGAAATTGTACAGGGTCCAGGATACGAGAAACCATAGTTTCTCTCCCTTTTTGCCTTCCCTCATGCTCACTTTACAATTTTCTCCGAACTTCTTCACTTTCTTTCTGGGACCTTAAATCGTTTTACCTGGGTAAAAAAACGCGCTCCAAGCAAACGGCGCTGAGGTACTTCTCTTTTCATAGATGACAAAGGAGACTTCGTAACTTGCTGGATTTTTAAGCGCGAAATCGTCCTCGTAAAGTCCAAGAGAAGGTC